AAAAAAAAAAGAAAAGAATAAAAGAAAATGGAGATCAATCCTTCTATTTTGCATAGCTCGGTAATTCTCTTTTGGGTCTTTAGAGATGCACACTAAATTATTTCTCGGAACGACATCCGTTGTTGCATTGATCGTAATTATGAAATATAAATATAAATATTATATATATATATATATAAAATATATTTATATATATATATATATAAAATAAAAAAGGAGAAAAATGTAACGAAAAAGAAAATAACAGAAAGAAAGAAAGAAACAAAGAAAAAAAAAAAAGAAAGAAAGAAGTGAAAAATACGTCTAATTCACGTTTGTTGTATACGTATATACACACACGCTGTGCGGCACGGAAAACAAAATCGGTGTGTATATATGTATATTGTACATGCATATGAAAGAAATCTCACGCAAGTGTCTTATTTTTCCAGGATGTTCATCGATTATTAAACGAAAAGAAAGATTAAAAAAGAGAGTAAAAAAGATTAAAAAAGAAAAAAACGAAAAAAAAAAGTGAAGAAAAAAGACGAAGTTGGAAGAAATTGCCACGAGGTAGTCGCGTGCGCGCGTGAAATCTAGGTGTGATAGCGTGTTCCTTGGACGGAAGTCGCTATGCGCCGGTCGCGACCGGAAGTCTGCGCCAGAATGCGTTTTTTAAAGTTTTTTGTTTTTCTCTCTTCTTTTTAATACGAGGGTTAATGTCCTTTAGCATATAGGCTGTTTTAATGCGATATGTATAGATATTTATATATATATATATATATATATTACATAACTTCTTTTTATCGAAATTGTTTACCTCCGATTTTTCCTATTGTTCTCTCCCCGATATTCTTTCTTTTTAATCTTCTTTCTTGTTAATATCCGCTTTCGTCATAGTTTTTTTTTTTTTTTTCGGGTTTTAAGACAGACGCGTTCGTGCAAAGCACAGAGGCGGGGAGATTTGTTAATCAAGTTTAATCACGATTGTTTGATCGAGTGTGTCTCATTTTTTTTCTCTCTCTCTTAGATGTGTAGAACTCGTTTTCTCATTTTTTTTTTCTTTTTTAATTCTTCTCCTTTAGCCGCGATTTTATCGAGCGTTTTTAGTGTCTAATGGTCTTATTAACGAGAGGGATGTTAACGTTCTTAAGGATACACTTCTAGGTCGTAAGAATTGGGCGATTGAAACGGCGGAAATAAAGAGAAAGATCGAATTGTCGAACGGCGATGATAAAAAAATTACGTGCTATTTATTCGAATACGGAACAAGAGGACGTACAAGTAAGAAAGAGGTGTATGTAGGAAAATAAAAAAAATAAATACAAAGATAACTTTTCAAAGGGACAAAGATTGATATTTTCTCGAGTATAATTACTGTGATGACACTGGCCTGCTCATCTCTGTTGCACTTTCTTCCAATTATTCGAGCAGTTACAAAGAGTTGCGTAAAATAAGAAAAAGAAAAAAAAAACAAAACGACAAAAAAAAAGAAGAAGAACGAAGAAGAGGAAGATAAAGATAAAGATAAAGATAAAGATACGAAAAACCCTGTAAAACACATTCGTGAGGTACTCTGAATATGTACACGTGCATACATAGACATGTATACTCGTTTCGTTAGTCGCGCGTTGCCGTTCACACAGCGGTTATTTTGTGTGTGTAAGTGTATGTGTGCGTGTGCGTGTGTGTGTGGCGCGCACGCGCGCCCACGTACGTGTGTATGTATGCCCGCGCGCGCGTGTGTATGTGTGTGCGTGTGCTTATGCTGCGTGCGCGACGAAGGAGCGAATGGGTTATTTCACGGTGTGCGTGCGGCTTCGCGTGTTTTTTTTTTTTTTCCTCTTTGTGCGTGCGTGCGCTCGTAGGCACGCTTGTACGCGTGTGTGCGTAGTGAATTACGTCATATAGATAGATCATATGTGCTTTCTAATGATGAATAATTTTATAAATATAAATATAATATCGATCTCTCACGTGTACGTTTATTTTGGAAGTTCGCGCCTGGTCCGCGCGGGTTCGATCATTAAAACTGTAATTAGTTCTCATGTGCTTTATTTTCCTTTTGGATGTCACCGATTTATCCATCCCGTTTCACCAGACCCTTGAAACTTCGATCTTCGACCGATCCGATCCGATCCGATCCGATCCGATCCGATCCGATCCGGCCAAAGGATTCTTCCAGTTGTTTTTATTCCTGCATGAAACTTGCACTCGTCGTCGTGGTGTTGATGCGTACACGTTAAGGGCAAGAGTTAGTTTGAATAACTAATTAATATATTTTCCTTACTTAAAACAGCGATACATAATATAATGTACATAAATATAAAATCAGAGTTGTCTCTTACTCTGCGTTACACGCGATATATTTTCTTTATATTTGTTCCTTACGATTCTCTCTGTAATATGCACCAAGCATAACATTGACAATTACACGTATGCAATTATTATACAGAGTTACACAGACTTTTCAATAGCGATTCTATTGGAGTTGTTGCGCGCGTAGATATCGGTGTGCCGATTTTTATTCCAGTCATTTGGTCATCTCGGCACAGTTTGAAGACAGAAAGGGGACAGAAAGGAGAAGAGAATGTCTTCCTTAACGCGTAGCTCAGAAGCAAATTAGTAGAAAAATTTCCTCAGGTCTCTTTCGTTCGGCAGGAAGATTTTAAATTATCCATCGACTAACAAGGCAAACACAGAAGCTTTTATGTATATAATATTCTGTTTCAACGCAAGTTCAAGTCGGCCCCTGTTATTTGAACGAGTGAGGATAATTCCAAGCTCTTCCACTGTTTAATAGAAAAAAAAAAAAAGTTGACTCGCGTTATTCTTTATAAACAGGATAAGGTGAATTTTCAATTCTATAAAATTGTCCTACGAACTCTTCAGAAAATAAGTTTGTATATAATTATTCTTTCCAAAGAAAAGAAAAGAAAAAAAAAAAAAAAGAAGCGATCGCGAAAGAGACCGAGTTGAACAGAAATTAACAACGCCTCGCCTCTCAAGAATCATCAGGCTATGTTGGCGTCTATAAAACGGTCTTTATTCGACACGATGTAAATACATAGACAAGTAAAGTGTGTTACACGATAGAGTAGCGTTACATATGATACACTGAATTGTTAATTTAAGACTCGATCGTTCGAACGCGATAGCGATTGGCAGTATCAGCGGGAAGTTTCAGTTTGTCCCCGTTATCGTATCGTATTTTTGGCATTAAAAAACGAGCCGAGGTCGCGAATGGCCTCGATTACGCCATTACGTGGAATAGACTTGCGATAACTTAACTAACAGACTCGATTAACTTGTTATATGTACACGTACAGACTCGCTGTTTCCAGTTCACGAACAGTTCGAAGACACTTTGAACGTGATTCGAAGCTCGGGGCCGCTCGAAAGATTCCCGCGTGTAAATATTCCATGTATTTCACCGAGTATCCTCGAGATATTCAGAGTTTGTAGTTGGTGTCTAGTCAGTTAAGCCTTATTAGCCTTCGACATGTATCTTTATTTCGATCGACGCGCACATGTGCCGCGTAAAATGGAAAATTACCATTTACTTTGAAAGAGAATTCCGAATTTCAAATGAGAAGTAATGGAAATTTGATGGCATGTCTTTACATCAGCAATAAAACTAAACTATGCATTTCTTTGTGAAAGAAGAAGTTCGATTTTTCACTTTCACATATCGGATATTCCCTGTGTGTACTTTTACAAACTGAGTTTTTTATTCCACTCAAATCAAACCTTTTCTTACAAAATACACAGTAGTCGAATAGCATTTCTATTGCTTCTTATTGAAATTCGGAGCTTTCTCAAAGCTATAAACGGTCAATTTGTCATTTTACACGACGCAACAACAGCAGCGGAATAAAGCTTTGGATTGGACGTGCGTATACTCGTCACTGATTTTGATTTGAATTACGCGTCCCGCGAGGGGACTTTTAAAACTGAATCCCGC